CAGTCATTTGGATCATTTGGACAATTCTTGTATTGAATTCTTCTCTGTGCCTTTTATGGTTAGTTTGTTCTGAACTATGGTTTTCAAACTAGGCAAATAATTGATATATTGGACAATTCAAGAGCCCTGATACAAATTGTCCACCAGAGGATCATTGTTTAGAAAAGTAGGAATGTGAGGTTTCTCCAAAAATTGCATCACTTCTTAACCCCAATCCACATCTTCAAAATGAGGCTGCAGTTGACAATCCAGGAACATTTAAAATGCTACATTTGAAATTGCCATGTGAGGTGCTACCCCTCCTTGTGGGGGGAGAGCCGATCTCAGTCTCCATCTACTCAGCAGAGAGACTTAGGACCCATCTGCCCCCTCACAGAGATGGAATTCCCATAGCAGTTCAACAGTCAATCTCTCTTCCCAGGGAACTCTCGGAATTGTAGCTCCGTGTAAGGAATGAGGTTTCCAAACAATCCCCAGCACCCTTAACAAACTACAGTTTGCAGGATTCTCTGGAGAAGACATTACTATTTAAAACAGTATGATACTGCTTTAAATGCACAGTGCAGATGGTGCCATAGAGTCATAAGGGTAGGAGGTGGTCTTGTAGGCCAACCTCTGCTTGATGCAGGAAACTCAAAGAAGATCCCCTCCAACAAGTGGTTGTCCAGTCTCTGCTAGAAGACCTCCAGAGAGGAAGAGGCCATCACATTCAACCAGGATCTACCCTCCAGAGACTTAAACTCATTAGATCTAGTTCTGCTCTCTGGGGCAGCAAAGAAAAAAACAACAACATTTGCCCTCTTCTCTGTGACAGCCTTTCTGGTATTTGAAGAGAGTTGTCATGTCTTCTCCAACAAGCATGATGTGCAATATATTAAGACATTCTGTTGTGCAAGAAGCATCAATGTGGTGTAGTGCAGTGTGCTTCAACCTAGGATCCCAATACATTGTTGGACTGCAATTCCTATAATCCCCAGCCATCTTAGTCAAGGGTCAGGAAAGATGGGAGTTGTGGTCCAACAACATTTAGAGACCAGAGGTTGAAGAACAGTAGGGCAGTGGATAGTCCTGAACTTCAGCCAAGAAGTGCTGGATTCCAATCCTCTCTCAACCTTGCGGTACAGTGGGCTGTCACTTTCTTTCAGGCCAACTTGAAAGGCTGAAATGGGGACAACTCATTCCTGAGCGGTTGTGGGTAACTAATCCATACGGCTGATCATCTCTGTAGCCCTTTCTGGAACCTGCTGCAATTTGTCTACATCCCTCTTGCTATAAATCTGTGATTCCCAAAGGCCATCTATCTAGTCCAGCATCTGGTTCTCACAGTGGTCCACCAGATGAGAAGACTGCAAGGAGGGTCTCAGTGTGGTGAGCAGCAACAACTCTTTCCCACTTGTGAATCCCAGCAACTGGTATTCAGAGGCATAAAGCCTCTGACAGTGGAAGGAGAAAGACAGAGGAAGTTGAGAAAGGCTGCCCTAGAGACTTGATCAAGGAAAAGTGGAGTAATGGCTTGATAGACCTGGATCCGGAATTTGCTGGCGACACAGAAATGGCCTACCTAGGTTTAATTTACATCCTTTTCCTCTGCGCTTCTCCACCTTTGCTGCTCCCTATCTTCCCTTTGTAGGAAAATTATAGAGTGTTGTCAGGGTATCTCTTAATTGGCTGCTGTCTGATAAGCCACATAGCTGGAATACTCTGTGCTGTCAGGTGTCACATGCAACCAACAGCTGGCGTGTTCAAGCCAGGCCTCCTTTGATGTCATCAGAGCTCCAGCATCTATGATTTAAACAACCACATACTTGTAAGCTGATAATGCATGTGTCATTCTCCCTCTCTTCCCTCCTCCTCCCTCCCCATGCTGCTGAGTTTGTGCTCACAGCTGTGCTTTCAAATTCCTTGATGCAGTGGCCAACTTGGGGACTGTCATATTCCAAGGGTAATGGTTGGGGATTATGGGTCCTGGCATGATTTGCACATTCTCAAAGAGGCTGGCACTGCGCCCTACTTTGTAGAGGACAGTCCGCATATTGGAAGACTGCCTCCCCTCTTAAGAGCCCTCTTTCTGAAGCGCTGTCCAGTCCAAGCCTGCTTTAAAGATTATGAACCATATGAAGAGAGATCAACTTTCCAACTATCTGAAGATAACAATCTGAAGATAAACAACTACCCGACTTTTAGAAGACATCTGAAGGCAGTCCTGTTTAGGAAAGTTTTTAATGTATGAAGTTTTATTCTGTTTTTAATGTTCTGTTGAAAGCCACCCAGAGTGGCTGGGGAAACCCAGCCAGATGGGTGGGGTAGAGATAATAAATGTATTATTAATTATTATTATTATTATTAGGGACCCATCAACAGCACCCAAGGAGCAGGCTGAGCATGGACTCAGATCACCTGATTGTATTCATATTTAAATCATAGCAATTATTTCTAGCCAATGTGGTGTAGTGGTTAGCGTTCTGGACAAGAGCCTGGGAGACCAGAGTTGTTCAAATCCCCACTTGGCTTTTAACTGTAACTTGCCTGGTCATCCAAACCAGATAAGCTGTGGTTAATCTTAACTATGGTTTGTTGAAACAAATCATTTTCTAACCACAGTTGTGCAAGGTGACTTGTTTCAACAAACTATGTTTAGGTCAAAAACATTTTACAGTTCAGATGTAACACTAAACGTTGGTTAATTAATCTAGATTAGCCTCCCTGCAGCCAAAGGAGAAAAGCGGATGATGAAAGGTGTGAATCCATCTTCATACAGCTAACCCATGCTGTAGCTGTTGACACACAGCTTGTTGTGATGTGTGAATTAGGACGCACGAAGACAGAACATTCTGGCTACAACAGTACTCAAAAAACAAGGTGCAAAGCTTAATTTAAAGAACAGAGTTGCAATTAACAGTATTGGATGATGGGGTTTTCCCTTCAGCAGAGCAGTATAGTCCTACATCCTAACATAGCAGCTTTTGTGATTGTCCCACATTAAGTCAGAACATGGAAATAGAGCTTAGTGACAGCACAATTCCACATATGTCTACTCAGAAGGAAGTCCAGTGAGAACTTATTTCCAGATAAGTCGTATTCTTCTTCTTCTTTGACAATCACTTGTAGCTGAGTAGGATTGTCTTCCATAAACACGGTTTTAACAGTGAGTCCGTAAGTGACTGTGGAGGCCAGTTCTGGATCCACATGTCCTTCCACAGTGGGGACATTGGTTTCCGGGCAGGAGTTGATCATGGTGAGGGTTTGCCAAGCGTGCCTTCCTCTCAGCACGTTTCTCCCTTTCGTCCTGTGTTCAAGTGTCTTCAAAGCCCATGACACCTATGGTAAAGGCTGTTTTCCAACTGGAGCACTCGCAGGCCAGTGCTTCCCAGTTGTCAGTGTTTATACTACATTTTTTAAGATTTGCCTTGAGACAGTCTTTAAACCTCTTTTGTTGACCACTAGCATTACACTTTCCATTTTCAAGTTTGGAATAGAGTAGTTGCTTTGGAAGACAAACATCAGGCATCCGCGCAACATGACCAGATAAGTATTGTTATGCACACCCAAATCTCGGAGGGGTGAGAGATTTCAGAGGTTCCCAGCATGTACCTTAGAAGCAAGATCACTGGAGACTAAAGATGGTTCCTGTGATATAAAGATTTATTTACAGACACCAACACCCACACTTATTGAGCATAAGAAGGAAGCTATACAGCATCAACACTCCAACAGAACCTGCTCCATTAGTCTTCTAGAGGGCTCCCTATGCTATAGCTCTTGCAGAGGGTGAGTCATGCCTCTGTGTCTCTTTCGGCTCCAGCTTCAAGACTGCTGGTCTTTTGTTCTCTTTCAGAAATAGACACCTTGATGATATGCCACCAATTTGATTTTAATTAATTTTTATAATGAAATGTTTTTAGAACGTTGGATTATTTTGATTGTTGTTAGCCGCTCTGAGCCCAGCTTCGGCTGGGGAGGGCCGGATATAAATAAAATTTATTATTATTATTATTATTATTATTATTATTATTATTATATAACCTCCAGCCAAGAAAGAAAGGCATGCCCCCTGCCATAAGTTTGTTTCTGTAGCAACCCATCACTTGCACTTGGCCTCTCTGTCGTTTTGCAAAAGCCCACCATTCTCCCAACAAAAGGGAACCTGCCAGGCTACACTTGTCCATCTGGCTTGACCTCATTAGCAGTCTCTTTTTACAACCAGAGTCACAGGGTTGGGTGGGGCTCCAAAACGCATTTAGTCAAACTCAAATCTCATTACCGTAAGCATAGTATCATTGTGGACTTTATTCCCACCCCAACAATAGTGGCAAACTTACTTATATGGGAGAGAGTAGAGAGGTGCACTGAGGATATCATGGGAGTGGAGGGCCATGCATGCTTTATATAACCAGCTATTATTGCCATGAAGAATCAAGCCTGCTTCTATGTGCATCACTGCATTGTGGATTCTGTTCCTTGGTCACACCAAAGGCTAGCGGAATGTCAAAAATGGGTTTGATGGTATGACGGTTGCTGGGGACGGGGACCATCCTATCTTAAGATGATCACTTGCTAATACTCAGAGTGATCAATTGAAGTTCCCTAAATGGGAGCGATTTCATTTATTTAATACAGACCAATTGGTTTGCATGGTGCTTTCTGAAGAACAGGTAGGACTGGTCCTTATTCCAAAAGAGAGGGAAGCAGAAGGGAGGAAGGAAATGGAGGCACAGGTAGCTAAGGAAAGAGAATTTCATTTACACATTCTTTAACTTGGTTACACTACAGGCTGGGTGGATAATCCAAAGGCTTTCTGGGAAAGGTAATTTTGATGAGCAATTAAAAGGAAATAAGGGAAATGGTTGCACTGAGGCAATACAGCAAACAGTTCCAGGCTCAAGGGAGCAGTGGGGGGAAATGAAGAGTTGTTTCAGGGAGCAGGAGACTTTTAGCAACTTCCTCTACCTAGGGAAGTTTTTAATGTTTGGTGTTTCTTATGATGCTTTTACATTTGTTGGAAGCCACCCAGAGTGGCTGGTGTAACTCAGTCAGATGGGTGAGATATTATTATTATTATTATTATTATTATTATAATATCTCACCCATCTGACTGAGTTACACCAGCCACTCTGGGTGGCTTCCAACAAATGTAAAAGCATCATAAGAAACACCAAACATTAAAAACTTCCCTAGGTAGAGGAAGTTGCTAAAAGTCTCCTGCCCCTGAAACAACTCTTCATTTCCACTGCTCCTTTGAGCCTGGAACTGTTTGCTGTATTGCCTCAGTGCAACCATTTCCTTATTTCCTTAATTGCTCATCAAAATTACCTTTCCCAGAAAGCCTTTGGATTATCCACCCAGCCTGTAGTGTAACCAAGTTAAAGAATGTGTAAATGAAATTCTCTTTCCTTAGCTACCTGTGCCTCCATTTCCTTCCTCCCTTCTGCTTCCCTCTTTTGGAATAAGGACCAGTCCTACCTGTTCTTCAGAAAGCACCATGCAAACCAATTGGTCTGTATTAAATAAATGAAATCGCTCCCATTTAGGGAACTTCAATTGATCACTCTGAGTATTAGCAAGTGATCATCTTAAGATAGGATGGTCCCCGTCACCAGCAACCGTCATACCATCAATCCCATTTTTGACATTCCGCTAGCCTTTGTGTGACCAAGGAACAGAATCCACAATGCAGTGATGCACATAGAAGCAGGCTTGATTCTTCATGGCAATAATAGCTGGTTATATAAAGCATGCATGGCCCTCCACTCCCATGATATCCTCAGTGCACCTCTCACTCTCTCCCATATAAGTAAGTTTGCCACTATTGTTGGGGTGGGAATAAAGTCCACAATGATACTATGCTTACGGTAATGAGATTTGAGTTTGACTAAATGCGTTTTGGAGCCCCACCCAACCCTGTGACTCTGGTTGTAAAAAGAGACTGCTAATGAGGTCAAGCCAGATGGACAAGTGTAGCCTGGCAGGTTCCCTTTTGTTGGGAGAATGGTGGGATTTTGCAAAACGACAGAGAGGCCAAGTGAAAGTTATTGGTTGCTACTGAAACAAACTTATGGCAGGGGGCATGCCTTTCTTTCTTGGCTGGAGGTTATATAATAATAATAATAATAATAATAATAATAATAATTACTACTACTACTACTACTACTACTACTACTACTATTATTACATCCTCGGTGAATTGTCCAGCAGAGCTGTTTAGAGTGGCATGGTAAAATCTAGTGGAAGGGGTTGTCTGGGTAGGTCCAGGGGGTGGTCAATGCCTCACTATGGAGGGAGCTATAGCAGCCACCTTGGAAGAGACAGAGGTGCAAAACCTCCTGAAGAGGTCCTTCCTGGATCCAGAGGTTTTAGAAAACTATCTTCCAATCTCTAACACCTCCTTTTGGGGCAAAGTGATCAAGGGGGTGGTGGCTACCCAGCTGCAGATATGCCTGGAGGAAGCAGATTATCTAGATCCATTCCTGTCTGATTTCAGGCCTGCTTTGGGCACTGGAAAAGCCTTGGTTGCCTTGATTGATGACCGCTATCTTTTTTTTTAAATTATACTTTTCAGGTTTATACATTTCACTAATTTTACAATCATTTTTGCACTTCAAAACTTGACTTCCTTCCCCCTCTTTCTGTGGTTCCTTAAATTTATTTTTAATATCTTCTGCATATCCAAATTAACTTAATTTGCTCATTTATTCATCTACTTTAAATATATACTGCATACATATATAAATATAAATGTAAAACTGCAGGTTATTACAATAATCCTGCCAATGTTCTTATCTGTTTACAATTTATCTGTAAATATTCAATAAACCATTTCCATTCTTTTAGAAAAAGTTTGTTATATTGATTTCTTATTCTTCCGGTAAGTTTTGCTATTTCTGCATATTCCATAAATTTTTGTATCCATTCTTCCTTTGCTGGGACTTCTGCTTCTTTCCATTTTGGGGTGAGTAACATTCTTGCCGCTGTAGTAGCATACATGAATAAGTTTCTATACAGTTTAGGTAGTTCTGTCCCTATAATTCCCAAAAGAAAAGCTTCTGAGGTTGTTGTTTTTACAAACATCATTTTAAACATCCTTTTCAATTCATTATATATCATTTCTCAGTAAGCTTTAACCTTACTACAAGCAACCCTACATGTTCTCCTCGACCCCTCAGTGGCTTTTGACACTGATACAGAAGGGGGGGGGCATGTCTTCTTCACCTTCTTCTTCGCTACAATATATCCATTTATTTCCAATTGTCAATGTCAAAAGGGACTAAAATCTATAAAATTCATAGAAAATCAACGTGCCAATTTGCTCAATTTCTCTAGGACTCCATGACACCTCCCCTGTCCTCCATAATCCCTCAAGCAAGGTGTCAAGACCCTAATCCTGTCAAGTCGCTCTGCCAAGCCTTTCCTCCGGGCAATGCCAGGTGGCAGACTATGCATACATGGACCATTGTCTTCTCAGGATGTGCTTATCTGCGCATATCTCCAGCTCTGCATATTCCCCCCTCCCTCCTCCATATGTTAATCCGGTGTAACCCAACCTCTTCCTAATGTATTCGTGATGTAATCTGTGTAACCCAACCTCTTCCTAATGTATTCGTGATGTAACTGGGATGTATTTTGCACTGTATTCTGGGACATGGAGGGAAGTTTCAAAAATTCATGTCACCCCTTTCTCGCTGTTCAATCTCGCCTTGAACCTGTTGCGCAATAAACTTGGATCTTCTGCAGCTTGCTCCTGTCTCCGGCTGAGCTCATTTTTCTTCCGCAGGGACCCGCGGACTTAGTCCGACGAGCTGGGTGGCAGAGTAGCCCCGCACCCAGATTTTACCGTAACAACACCATTGTCAGCGTTCTTCTGGAGTGACTCGAAAAAGGTAGGAGTTGAGAATTGGAAGTACTGTACTACTGTGTTGCTGCTCCTACCTGCAGGATCACTACCAGAAAGTAGTACTAGGAGATTATTGCTCAGGGCCAAGGCTTTGGGGTTGTGTGGCCCCACAAGCATCTTTTCTGGTTCCTATGATGCTGACCCATGACAGGGCTTTTCCAGCGGCGATTCCTCATTTATAGAACGCCCTCCCTAATGAGTTAGGTCTGTCTCCCTCATTATTGAATTTCAGAAGAAATTTTAGAAGATTCCTGTTTGCCCAGGCATTTGGTGGTTGAAAGACACTATTGATGACAACCTTCGGAATGGCTGGGGCAACCCAGTCAGATGGGTGGGGTATAATTATTTTTTAAATTATTATTATCATTATTATTACTTTTATTACTGGTTGTGAATGTTTCAAGTCTTTCTAGGATGTATTTAACAACTATTTTTAGAATTTTCTTTTTTTTAAAATACAACTGGTGGTGGTAGTTGTTTTTAAAAATGTTTTACCATTGCCCCTGAGCTCCTTCAGGAGGAAGGATGGGATAGAAAAGAAATACATACATACATACATACCCAAGGATGGTAGAGCTGAATGAGTAAAGGTTACAGGAATGGGTCCTTCCTAATGGCTGGGAATCTCTCCTCCCTGCCTTTGGAAGGTGACCCCCTTCAGCAGTGTTGAGCAGCTTTTGACCAAAGCTGCTGAAAGAGATGCGAGCTGCCTAAAGGTGAATTGCCTTGAGCTGCTCCACTTGCTTCCCTTTGGAAACGTGATGCAGGATTAGCAGGTATGCTATCGACTGTTGGAGTCTTCTCCCCCAAAGCGGGCTATTTGTATCCCTTCCCCAACCTGGTGCCTTCTCAGAAGTTATTGGGCTCCAGCCCCCATAAATCCCAGCCATTTGGAGAGCACCAGGTTGGGGAAGGCTGAGTGAGCTGTAAAAGATGTACAGCAAAAACCTGTCCTACTGCCCCTTCCTCTTCCGCTCCGGGAAATGGAAGTGCATAGCTCTCAGACAGACAGGTAAGCAGACAGGCGAGAGACACAATAACACGAAGGTTTTCTAAGTGATGCAAAGAGCAGTTGTGGTAAACAGAATGCCACAATGTATTTAGAACATTCCGCTCAAGCGCAAGGTATCATTATGACAATAATGGAAGCCATGGGTTAAAAAAAAGACACTTCCTGGACTGTTGGATGTTTACAGCCAAGGAGCAAACCAGCAAGGTTTCACCATGTTCCCTTGCAAATAAATCACCCTACTACAAAGACTTGCCGACGCAAGCTTTTCCTCAGAATTAGCAAGCCTCTGTGTACAGTACTCACACCCCTTAAATGCTAGTTAATTAACTACACGGCCACCTCTCTGTCCTTCTTCAACCTCATTTCTTTTCTCCATTCAAGGAATTCTCATATCCTGCCTCTCTTCCAGCAAAGAGATTCAGAAACAGCTAACAGGAAAAAAGTTAAACGGAAACCAAGGTCGGCTCAGTATTTTGCAGGAGGGAGTCAATTGCTTATTGGAAATGTAAGTCGTCCCCAAAAATCGATTTTTTAAAAAGCAAGCATTTTGCGGTTAGGAAAGTGATGGCGAAAACAATGGCTTAACAGGGAAATGAGGGGTAGATGGGGCTCAACGCTCATCAACCTGGGAAGGTAGCCCATCTAGAATAAGGAAAACTCTAATCCTAAACTTCCGCTGCCTTGAAGCTACACTCATTCATGAGAAAGGCTTTGGGAGTAAACCCTGAGGAAAAATCCATACCCACTGCCTTGTGGGACATCTTTGGAAGAAGAAAACACTAAGGAGTAAACCCTACACAAATCTGGAGTGGAGTCCTTAAGATGGTTAGATGGCACCTTGTCCACCTCCTTGAGAACCACTGCCAGTCAATGTCAACAGCACTGGGCTAGAAAAACTAATGGCATGATTGTGGATAGGTCAGTTAGTAGAGCATCAGACTCTTAACCTGAGGAATGTGGGTTCAAGCTCCACACTGGGCAAAAGATTCCTGCATTGCAGGGCATTGGACTAGATGGCCCTGGTAGTCTCTTCCAACTCTAAGGCAGCCTCCTGTGTTTGGTGAGCACCTGTGGTATGAGATTGCTTCACGATGCTGATGGCGATGCTGGAGCTCACTTCTCAGATGGCTGCTTCACTGCCACAAACATTTTGCTGAATCAAATTACTGGCACAAGGGACTCATGACACCAGACGAGCCCTGCCCAACAAGATCTCTGAAGTTTACCTGGAGTTTGTGGGTCTTAAGACAAGTAGACCCTATTTCAAACATTCCTCTTACTATGAAGAATTGGAAGCATACGGTGCTGGCAAAATTAAACCAATGTGTGAATCAGGTCTGTTGGAATCGGCAGTGTTAACTTGTGTACAGTTTGTTAGAATCAAGGAGCAGGTATCCATTTGGAAACTGGTCCTGTAAGAATTAGTATAAAAAAATGAGATATAAATAGCCTGTCAAAGCACTGCATCAGCAGAAGCCCCTCAAGGAAAGGAAAGGCATAAACACACACACACACACACACACACACACACGTAGACAGTGGCTGACTTACGCTCTGGGCACATTACATGTCACAACACAATAGAGTACGATGACACTACATCAAAGTCAATTAAGTCACAATTTTGAAAGATAAGGAGGAGACGGTACATTACAAGAGAACCAGCAATGGCTCTTTTCAAAGCTCCTGGTAATGTAAATGAGCAAGTGCTTTCTGATTAGGCACTTTTTAAAGCAGGGGTAGGCAACCTATGGCTGCATGCAGCCCTTAGCCTAATTTCCCACCTCCTTCCGAAAGCCTAGTTAGCACTTTCCCAGCATTAGGAAGGAGGTGGGAAGGCTCTAGGAGCCTGCCAGAGTCCTTGTACAGTGGTACCTCGGGTTACATACGCTTCAGGTTACAAACTCCGCTAACCCAGAAATAGTGCTTCAGGTTAAGAACTTTGCTTCAGGATGAGAACAGAAATCATGCTCTGGCAGCACAGCGGCAGCAGGAGGCCCCATTAGCTAAAGTGGTGCTTCAGATTAAGAACAGTTTCTGGTTAAGTATGGACCTCCGGAACGAATTAAGTACTTAACCCAAGGTACCACTGTACTTCCTTCCCAAAGCCTGGCACCTCCATTTTCCAGTTTTGGGAAGGTGGTGCAAGGGCAGGGAGGGGTATCCGATTTTGGCCTCGCACAGGGCGCTATATTACCCTGGTGGGTAGTGAGGGAAGAGGCAATGGACTAAAGTGGGTGGCAGAGACAAAGAGAGAAAGAAAAGGGAGTGACAGAAAGAGAGAAAGAAGTCATGGAGAAAGAGGGAAGCGGGGTAGCCTGTCCATCTTTGGTTCCGAGTCCTGACAAATTACCCACACCTGAATGTGGCTTCAGCAGACCAAAGTTTGCTCTTCCTTCCTTTAAGGGGAGGATGGTTGGAGCAAAACACTTGAAACACAAATACGTTTTTTGTGCCTGGTGTGTTATGGGCAGAAGTACAATTGGTCTGATGTGTTAGAAGCCACTGTGATGTATTAGTTTGTGTGCTGAAGAAATATTGGGGAGACCAATGTTCAACTCCCCACTCAGCCACGACATTCCTGGGTGACTTTGGATCAGTCATTCCCTCTCAGCTTAAGCTTCCTCACAGAAAATAAAATGGGGCCATGAGTGTGTGTGAGAGAGAACCATGTATGTTCACATCCACACCATACATTTAGAGCCCATAGCATCTCCCAAAGAATCATAGGAACTGCACTTGGTCAATGGTGCTGGGAATTGTAGCTCTGTGGTGGCTAAACTACATTTCCCATAATTCGGGGGGGACGACTATGTGCTTTAAATGTATGGTGTGGATGTGACCTATGCTGCCTTGGCTTCCATGGAGGAATATCAGGATATAAATGCAATAAATCAGGATATTCCATGGAGGAATATCAGGATATAAATGGAAAGTGCATGCTCCTTTCCATATGAAGACAGGAAAGACTGCTGCACAAATTTTATTTATGCTGCATTTTAATCCATCAAGTTGTCCCACCATCTCAGCCATCTCCCAAAATGATTTCCCAAAGCAATGCCCTTCACTTGTCCAAGCTTCTAGCTTTTCCATCACTTCAATGTCATCATAGCCAAGGAGGAGGGGGGCAGGGATGAGTGAGTCTGGTTGCCTCCAAGATGCCCAAGGCCCCTAAGCTAAATTTACAGAGGGTTTTGTTTTGTTTTTTGAAAATGTCACATTCCTACTCTTTCAACATTTCAAGATACAGAGACAAAAGAAAAAACGTGCAAACAAGATTCCATCACTTGCGCACTGCATCTGCCTACAGTGTTCTGGTCAACTGCTGTAATCCAACACAGTTTTAGGAAATCCTAAACCCATTGAAATCAGGGGCTTTAACTCTGTGCTGGATTTTGTTCAGTCAGTTCAGACCCCAAAGGTAGGAAAAATGATTGATTAGCAGCTACCACTTATTTTATTAAGCACATTTAACAAATTACTTAACTTACAAAATTCCTGCAGCACCCAATCACTTCCCTTCTTCTACTGCATCCCAAATCCTCCTCCCTTCCATCTGAAAACAAAACAAAACTCTTTTAAATGCATCTCTAGAAACTCCCCATGCCTCACCATTCCATATATCTTCCCTCACACTTCTCACATCCAATCTTCATAAAGGCCAGTCAGTTTCAATATCCTGTCTTCTATTCCACACTATCTCCCCTTTCCAAGGTGAGACTTGGGTCAGGGCTGGATCGTGAGAAACATGAAGGCGAGAGTACTTCTAAGTATGTGCAAAGTACCGGCCCCCCTCTTCTCTCCACGACCTCTCTGAATAACCACCATCAACCAGGCTTATCTGCGCTTTTAAGACGATGGCCGTGAATTCCAGACCGGCTCCGCAGACTGCTCTAATTTCTATTTTACCTTTTAAGTCAGATTGCTTTGAACAGCACTTCTGTCTCTTTAAACACAGCCTTCCGCGCGCTGACCAATCAGAGACAGGATTCCCTTCGACGTCCGAGCCGAGACTCAGCTGTCCTCTTCCAATACTTCATCACCGCCCCCTCTCCGCATATTTTCATTCGGATTGCTTAAAGGGGCAGGGCGCTATCGAAAGTGGGGTGGGGCTTGTTTCCAATTAGAACGTCCGGAGCTGCCAAAGTACGTCGAGGATTGGTTGGTCGAGCCGAGCCAATCGCAACGCGTCGCCGCAGGGATATATAAGACGGCTGCACACTTACAGGCATCCGCAGTGCTCGTGTTGCAGGCGCGGCTGGAAGGAGGGGACGGGTCGAAATAGGGACTTGGCAGTTGCACGCGGCGCGGTTACGCCTCCCTTTTCCCCGCCCCCTCCAGTCCCTTCAGATATAGACTTGCTTCTCTCCGCTCCGCAGTGTGGTAGTTGCTGTTGCTGCTGTTTTTCTGCCCGGCCTGGAATTTTCTTTCGGCTTTTTTTAAAAAAATTAAAAATCAATCCGGTTTGGTTTTCTCGGCGAGTCCGGCCCGTTTTAATTTTCTCCTCCAGCCTCAGCGTTTCTTCTGTTCTCACCATGCGCGCGGCGGGGTCGGCGGCTGCGGTGACGGGCGCCGGGCCCTCGGGCGCTGCTGCGAGCTCGGAGAAGCAGCCGCCCAGCAGCGGCAGGGACGGGCGCTTCAGCGTCCTCGGCTGGGAGCAGGTGAAGCGGCTGGACCACATCCTCGAGGAGGCCGTCCCCATCCACGGCCGCGGCAACTTCCCCACCTTATCGGTGCGGCCGCGCAGGATCGTGCAGGTGAGTGGCAGGACCCGGTGAACCGGGGTGGCCGCGTACTTAATTCCCCCCCCCAAAAGAGGCATTATTAAGAATCGGCACGTTTACACGGGAGTAATCCCCGTTGCCTTCAGTGGACCTGCTTCTAAGCTTCTGACTCTTTCAGGAGTGAAAACTCTGGAAACAGTCTTAAAGGCACATCTTTGGGCTCTTCTTATTTATTAGGCTATTTAACCTTGCCCCGTCTGCCAACAACAGCCGTAAGTTCCTAACAGCAAAGAGAATGCACTGCAATTTAACAATAAAACATGTCTTTTAAAAGAGCAGCGGTAAAGCATCGATTACTTTGCAGCAGGACATGCCCAAGATTGCACCTATTCGCCAGGCTTCTTATTGCATGTGATAAAAGTCCACGAGTTTCCCTCCTGACAAAGAACTCAAAGACAAATCTTGTCGCCTGATCTTAGTCATGTTTACTTGAATATAAAACTTGTTGAGTTCAGCGGGTCATACTCCCCAGGAAGTCTCCCTAGGGATGCAGCCTTAATAAGCAACATAGCTGTCAACTGTCATTAGGTCAGTGCAGCCTTCTCTATTATACAGTGTTCACTTATTTGACTCATTCTGAACTAGAATATCTGGTATAAAGCCTGTATGTGAGAGGCTGCATACATACCATACATTTAAAGCACATTCTCTCCCCACCCTGAATCCTGGGAACTGTAGTTTATCTCTAACAGAGCTACAATTCCAAGTACCCTTAACAAACTACAGTTCCTTGGATTCTTTGGGAGGGTGCTTAAAATGTACAGTGTGAACTCAGCCTGTCAATTAGGAGAGGAACTAGAAGAGCCTATCTTGGATAACATTATTTATATACTAAAGGGCTCTTCTATGTAGCCATCATTCTTGATTGGAATGAATAGGTGTTTGTATAGCATAATTTTGTAGCCCGTTTAGCTATTGTGGCTCCTGCTGGAAAAGCCACGGAAGCATATTGGCTGTGAGTACTTAGCCTTATACAGTATATTCTGAGAATGTAAAGCTTTTTGAGTAATTGTGCTAATCCTTCTCATAATCCCCCGTTAAACTAAATGAGCATTAACTCCATACTGTGGAGAGTAGGCCAGGCTTATATCGAAGCCAAAATTTGGGTGCCTTAATTGACAGCTCAGGCCTTGGCTAGCTGTAGGTTTGACAAAAACCTATTTGGCAGAGAATAGTTCAGAGTATTGTATATGTGCAGTTAGTAATTGCAACAACCTTGATATTGATGCCCCCAATTACAGGTGGGAGCCAAGAATGGTAGATTGCTGCAATGTTGCACCAGATCTGTAGTTCCTTTAATGGGAGTTCTTAAGTTCTTAACTGAGTTGAGACTAATAGTCTAAGTGAAATCTTAGAAATGAGGAATGTTAGCTGTGATTGGTAGGATACTAAAAAGTGCCCTGATGTAGTGGGTGGTGGTATTAAGAAATTTATACACTACCCTCTATCAAAAGGCCACAGGATCGTTTACTACATGATAACATAAACGTAATACAAAGACAAGTGTAGGCAGTCTGTGTTTTAGGGTACCCTTCCCTTTGATCCTGTGGATTAGGAATAGGCTCTGTCCCTGAAGCAGAAGGGAATGGAAGACTTTTAAAAAACAACTCCCATGGGGTAACCATATCCGTCTGTTGCACCAAAAACAAGAGTGACACCTTAAGATTTGTTAGTCCACAGAAGTTTATAGAATATCCAAACTAGCTCTAATCCACGAAATTTTTTGTCATAGTAATCCAAGTCTTTAGGGTGCCATCGTTGTGGAGTAGGTGTTGCTGCCTGGGGATGACATTTGAGTTATCAGCTGTGAGGCAACACTCATTTTAACACAGGATTGTATGCTGACAACTGGTCATTGGCCTGTACTAGAGAAGATGGGTTGGTTCGCAGGTGGGAATTCTTGGATCACAGGGGCAGTAGGGCTGCAGCCCGTTAACAAAAGTGGCTAGAGAGACAAGAAGGGCAAATACATCTTCTGGCTGTGAATCGGTTGTAAGGAGGGGAAAGAATGAATGAGGGGGGGGCTGCCTGAAATGAAGGTACTTTCTATGCACAATTTATGTTGAGCTATTTGTGGGACCTAGAGGAAGAGAGGTGGGGAGTGCCACACAGTGCCACCCCCAGATCCTAATAGAAAGAAGTTGGCAAAATCCTTCCATATTGGAGCAGCTCTTGAGACCTTCCATAGTCTTGCTATGGAAGACTATAGAAGTCTACTACGGAAGACTATACCTTCCATAGTAGAAACCCACAATTGTATACTAGGTTCAGGTGCCCTATTTTGAAGGCAACCCTGTCCCAAGAAGAGCAGTAATTAGGTTAAATAGGGTTGGGAGTATAGGAAGGCGTCGGTCATGGGTGTGTGACTGCAGTGGGTTGTTGGAGAGGCAACCTCAGGCTGGTGAGCAAGAGAGTCGATAGGCTGAGCACAGAGAGCTGGAAGTTGGGCAGAAATAACCCCCTGCTCCTTTTCCCAATCCCTTCCATGTGTTTCCCTAGCACCATATTTCTGGCAATGGTCGATCCCTAGACTTGATTGGCGGGGGTGAGGGAAACTTGCTCAAGCGAAGCACGCTTAAGTCCATCCAGATAATTTTGCAGAAAAAGAAACGATTCCTTGAGCAGAGTTGGTTACAGCAAAATCCCATTCCATTAGAACATTCTGCTGTGGTCCGGGGCCACCTTCACACCATACATTTAAAGCACTGTGACACCACTTTGAACAGTCATGGCTTCCTCTGAATAATTCTGGGACCTGTAGTTAAGAGTGCTGAGTTGTTAGGCAGCCTCACAGAGCAGTTCTCAGAGTGGTTGAACAAACAATCCCCCTTCGCAGGGACCTCTTGGACCTCTTCAAAGATATGTTAGATAAAGATGTGGAAGGAATGGACAGGTTCTTCCCCTTCCCATAGGAACATATAGGAAGTTGCCTTATACTGAGTTAGGCCACTGGTCCATCTGGCTCCATACTGTTTGCACTGACTGGCAGCAGCTCTCCAGGATTCCAGACAGGGTTCTCTCCCAGCCCTACCTGAAGATGCCAGTGATCAAACCTGGAACTTTCTGTAGGTAAAGAAGGTGTTCTGTCACTCAGCTATGGGCCTTCCCAAAGGGTCTGAGGTTGTTTTGTTAAGGGAGTATTCTTTCTGCTGGTAAACAGCTGGCAATACTGCAAAAAGTGAGGGTTAGTGAAAGAACAGTACATTTGTCTAGGAAAGGGGGGGGGTCACTGCTTCAGAGCTGAAGTTGGTATGTACAACGCCTGATCTTTCCATTATTTGCAAATTGATGTCTACTGCTGTTGCCAACTGGCAATTGAAACAGAACTAGCGTGTCTGAGGTCAATTCTAAATTGTATTAAATTTGGTATTGTGTTAAACGGAGGTGTTGTATATGACTCCCCGGGGTTCCTTTGGGAGAAAGGGTGTGTTTAGAATCCTCGAAACAGCGTTGCCTTGACAGACTGTTTGGTAAGGATGCTTGGCAGAATGGGTTTAAAAATCAGGCATCCATATACAAAGTGTAAAACCACAAGATTTATAAGGAAACAGAACCGAAAGGCCACAATTGGCAGAGATGCCTCTTATGCCAAGCTGTGTTTGAACAGCTCTTACTCAATATCCTTTGGGGAGGGAAGAAACCAAGATGCGCAAGGCACTTAGTATCTGCCAAGGGTGGCTCCCTTTACTGGAGGAGGCTTTCATTTAGCTTTCTCATAAAGCACGGGAGGCTTATAGAAGCAATAGGAATTGTTGCCCCTGTGTATGGTTCGCTTGTGTAGCGTGGCATCAGCCTTTCAAAGGTTAGTGGCTGCCTTCCTCAGTGAAACGAGGGCCCCTTTCACACTAGGGCTTTAGCACACTTGATGCATTACTTCCTCACAACTGGCTGGAAATGAGTCTTCCAATGTGGTTCCATGCGGCATTGAATGGTGTGCTAGATTCCCCATTACAGTTCTCCAGAATGTCCCTCCCCACCATAGCAAAAGCACACAGTGCATTGTTGGAACGTAGCCTGAGAGCGGTTAAGAAACAGAATAAATAAAATTGCCGTGCAAGTCGGCTTATATTTTAGCGTATTAGTGCAGAAATGGAGGTAAGTGCCAGCTTTTGAAGCTAATGGAGAATGGACTTGTACTCCTGCTATGATGAGTACAAGCAGCTAGTGCAGGTTGAAATCCTACCAAGCAACTGCTTCCCAGCAAAGAGACTTGTAGCATCTTTGAAAACAGACTCACGGGAGCACAGTGGGGAAAGGCCAGCCATGTAGGAAGGTGGGTCTTCCCCAGGTGACTCGGTAGTACTTTGCAAATCCACATGTGTTGGCTGGTGGTGCAAATCAGAAATCTCAAGCCCTGTATAAGACAGAAGAAGAGGAAAAACTTTAGAATGTGACAGTTTGGCAAAATGATTATCTGGGTTCTTTGGGAAACGAGAGTGCATGTCATTTTACCAGAACAGTTGTGTGTGTGTGTGTGTGTGTGTGTGTGTGTGTGTGTAAGCAAGCAAGCAATCGCCCAAGGTCACTCAGCATTAGATGTCACCATTGACTAGTCTGACTAAAGCAGTTCATGTCAAATGTTGGACCCTGCTCTGATGAGCTTGCATGCTGGCTGGCCCTTCATTTGGCACCCCTCTGTCAGCTTATATGGAGCTTGGAATCTGCTAGCAGAAAATAAATCTGCTGAGGTAGTGATATCTGGTCTCTTGGGCTTGGCTCTGTGCCATCAGGGCTTGGGAGTCTCTAGCTGTAGCGGGAATGGAAAAATCTGTGCAGGTTTCCTAGTTCCTATGGTTGGGAGATGTAGTGGGGCATCGGACTGCAGGAGTTGGGGCCGTTAAAATATTTTCAACTTCTTCCAATGGGTGTGAAGAACATTTTACTTTTGATGGTAAATATTGCAGTTGACCATTATCCAATAGGTCTGCATTTTAAGTAAACTGGACAGAAATGGGTTCTTGGGGTTAATAAAATAGTAAATAAGTTTAAGTAATGGCAGGCAGCACAGATGTGTGTACAAAGACAGGCTCTATAGAGCAACCTTTCTCAATCTTGGATCCTTAGATGTTGGACTGCAGCTCCCATCATTCTTAGCCAGCATGGTCAGTGGTCATGGATGATGGGAGTTGTAGTTCAAGAACATCTGGGGAACCCAAGGCTGAGAAAGGTTACTGCAGAGCAGTGACGGCCAAACTTGGCCCTCCAGCTGTTTTGGGACTACAACTCCCATCATCCCTAGCTAACAGGACCCAGTGGTCAGGGGTGATGGGAACTGTAGTCCCAAAACAGCTGGAGGGCCAAGTTTGGCCACCACAGCTGTAGAGCATTTCCATGTGCTTCATCCAAGAAGTGTAGGTTTACACACAAGTGTATTGCACAGCCCTTGTGAGGTAGACTGAGATGAGATAATGGTGACTTGCCCAGTGCCACTTTGCTGAGCACCATGGGTTCAAATCTCTATTTGTTCTACCTGACCAGCTCAACCGAGAATTGCTGTAAAACTGACCTACAAGACAAAACCTGATGATAGGCTATCACATATGGGGGAGGTGGTAATGATGACAATGCTCGTGCCAGATGGACAGATTTTTTTTGCTATTTTATTGACAATAGATGGTTATTAATGGTCTTTAGTCTTGGATATTATCTTGATGGCAAAGGTTTAATAACATGTTCTAGATTCGTAGATACAAACCTGACTTATAGCAATTTAGCATCAGCTGATATCGCTGGGTTTTTTTTATCTCCAGCACACTTTGACTTGCTTCTGTGCCTTCTGGGTTAATGACAGATTAACCCTACAGATTTAACAGGCACAAAGCAACTTGTTGTGCCCAGCTTTACCTACTAGCTTGGACTTCCTGGAAAGGTAAAACTACAACTCCATGTCTAAATATCAAGGTGGATTTTAACATTCTAACTGGAACACAGTGCCCTTAAAGTAGACATCTAAGTACCACACAGTAGCCTGAGCTATAGCTGAAACGGGGACAACCTGAGACAGGTAACTATGCAGTCGCCATTTAGCTGAACCTTACACTCACTTCCAAAGCATGACTGTTTACAATTTTGGCACTTGGCTGCCAAACACTTCCAATCTGCAGAAAGTGAATCTTAGCACATTGTAACACTTCTGGGTGGAAATTGGACTTCGTTTGTACTCAGCAGTTTAACAGGCAGGTCTGATATGGAAGTACATTTCCTTTCTCTCCCTTATGGAGGGCAGTTTCTGCATGTCAAAGCAGAAGTCAGTTGCATGCACAGGGCTGGAGCTGCCGGAGAACTCAGCGCCCTGGTTAGTATGTACCGAAAGTGAATCAAACGGATATGTGCAATTTAACTACAGGCGGTTTAGTTTGCTTTGATATTTTATAAATTATTATCCTCTTTATCCCAGCCATCCTTCAAGTAGCCAAAGGTTCTCCCTCCACCCCAATTTCATCCAAACTGTTTTGTGATGTAAGTTAGGCTGAGAGAAACTGACCAGCCCCAAGTCAACCCGGAAACAATTCCTAAGCTGGGCTTTGAACCCGGATCTCCCTGAACCACACTGGTTCTTTACATATTCATTTGGCGGGGAGGGGCATGTGTTGGTGCTAACATGTACATGGAAGCAAGGTGGTCTTGGTATACTTGACTTAAGTGAGCATCTGTGTAGAAAGTCGGTACACTGAAATCTCCAACAGTCACAAAACTGTCCAATGCTTGTTGACTCTTCCAATGAAGCTAGATAGCACTGAAGGTTGTTTCCAGTACAGTCCATTTGCCCTGAAATAGCCTGCTCTGCTGTGTGTCATAATTGCCACAAATTACTAGGGATTTGCTTGTCCGTGAAGTAGCAACAGTGTGCTTAGTAGGCATTAACGTTGCACCAATAAGCTGCTGCATATTCATTTTGTATGGGAGGTGGCTTCATTCCTCTGCAATGACTCACTAATGTAAAATAACTCACATTGGTTTCTGATTTTTTTAAAAAAGCATTGTTATAAAGCTGGCTGCCTTTCACAACATCAGTTATCAGGAGTTGAAGGTCTTTAAGAGGTGCATGCATGCACTCATTAAATGAATTATGTGCAAGTTCAAATTGCTGTTAAATTTTGTCAGCAATGTCATGATTTTCCTTAAAAATAGCTCAGAAATGCCTTTTCTTTTACTAAAAAAAAGCTAAACAACGTTTCTGTCTGTATTTTCACTGTTTGAAATAAATGGCAACCCTAAGCAGAATACTGCATTTCATTGAGCTTTTGAATTATGTACTTCTCATACCCTAAAACTTAAGGTAAAACTGCACTTGCCTAGGTGGACAATAAAGTGTATACGTAGGAAGAGAACATATTGTGAATAGCTTTTATGTGGACTAGGCCTGAGTTCCCATGGTGTGGTGCCCATGGACATGTACATGTCTGTGCTGTTTCTAAATTAGCAACGCCATTCAACAAGGAATGGTTGCACAGAGGCAAAGCAGCTGCAGTGTGGCACCTGCAAGGTTTTTCTTTGCGGGATGGCACAAATGATGTGACAGCTAGTGGAGAAGATTCTGCTGGCAAGGGATAAAGAAGTGCTAATCCAGCATGCTAAAGATTTGGAAGGCAAGCGCTGGCATGTAGGAAATGGGCTTGTTTGAGGAGTTCAACTTTATTGGGTATGGGATAGCAGTTGGGAGATAGCAGTAATGCTGATGATGGGATTTTAGCAGACTAGATGTAGAAGGCTGGCATGCTAGAACTGGATGGAGACACCTGGGTTTAGAGCAGTAGTTCTAACTGGCCCCACTCCCTCACTGGAAACGAAAACAGCTTTTTTGAATAAAGGGATGGTATGGCCTCTGGGTAGGCAGTTTGCCTTTCTAATCCATTTTGGGTTTGATGCCTTGAGGGAGCATCAGGATTGGTATGTGAAATTGTAGCACAGGCAGTAAATGGTCCTGGCAGCAACTACCCATGCTCTGTATCTGCCTGGTTTCCTTATACAAGCACAGGAAGCAAGAACACAGCACACACTCTCCAGTTCTGTGGAATGATGAAACCTACACACAAGCAAATCCATTTTCTTTGCAGAATTCCAAGACGATACAGGGTAGTAGAGATTTGCCTCTTTGAAGTAACTTCCTCCTTTGCAGTAGTAACTTCCTACCTTGCTACTACTTTGTAGCAGTCAAAAGGGAGCCATTTGCCCTGGCTACGAAATGCTCAGAAATCCTGGGGCATGGAACTGGTTGCAATTGGATGACATGCTAAACATACCATGTAACTGGTGGACGCATACCTATGAAATCTAAATAGAATGCTTGTTAGCAGAAATATGCCAGGCTGCAATGTGATTCAAAGTAGCTATCATTTGAGAGTGGGGAAGAAGACAAGTAGAAGTAGAGCACTGAACCAAATGCAACAGTTCAGTTTCTATTGAATGCAAATAGAGGCCGGTGATGGTGGTATCTGATTATGTATAATGCACTGCAATTTACCGTATTTTTCGCTCTATAAGACGCACCAGATCACAAGACGCACCTAGTTTTTGGAGGAGGAAAACAAGGGAAAAAAATTCTGAATCTCAGAAGCCAGAACAGCAAGAGGGATCGCTGCACAGTGAAAGCAGCAATCCCTCTTGCTGTTCTGGCTTCTGGGATAGCTGCGCAGCTTGCATTCGCTCCATAAGACGCACACACATTTCTCTTTACTTTTTAGGAGGGAAAAAGTGAGTCTTATAGAGCAAAAAATACGGTAAGTTAATCTATTGATTAGCTAGAAAGAAACTTCAAGCCTGAGTTGTTCAAGCTCTTATTTAGGCAGATGGGTTGGGGCAAAGCACCCTGTTTTAGGCAGGTCACAGCCAATTTTGTAACAGCTTTTGCACATGCTTCCAATAAGTATATAACCTACTTAACCACTCCATAGAACTTGCATGGCATTTACATAGTTTACAAGGGATGTTGCCCAGGTCATTTGGAAGACACGTCACTAAACAACTGCATCCGTCCAGCACTTCCATTATCTAGCAGAAAACGTAGCATAGCACTTTTCTGTGGCTGCATTTGCACACTGTGCTAAACCATTGGTCTACTCTGAAAGTGCAGGTGGTTCTTGCTCCGCTCCTTGAAAAGGCAACAAGCCACAATTCTGGCATCCAAACCCAAGAGTCATGATTTGTTTTGCTCTAAAGAAGCCACATTCTGAAGCCAAAGTTTGTTGGCTTTATCAATCATGGATGGCCTGAGCAACGCAATAATCTTAGCCCCGGGACCTTGGTTTGATGCTCAGGCTAAGGGAAGACTGAAGCTAGAGCCATCTTTATGGTTTACTACGATGTACAAACAGGGCCAACTTGATCCAACTAGTTTCATTTAACTCTAGAAAGTGAACTTGTCAAAAGTGGCAGCACTGGGGGGTACCCTTTGGAGTAGACATACCTCTGTTTGGCTTCATCCCTTGTTAGATGTTAATTATAGCCTGCATTGCGGTGTGACAAATAGATCCAGAGGAGCCAACACGCCTCATAGATTCAACTGTGCCAAAGCACAGGTTTTAAGAAGGGCCTTTTGTTGCCCATCCATTTAAACAACCAGAGTGGTTGGGGCAACTCAGTCAGATGGGTGGGGTATAAGCAATAATAATGATGATGATGATGATAATAATAATAATAATAATAATAAATTTTATTATAGATGGCATGTGTCTGCCCACACATCTTTTTCTGTTTTAAGAAACATCACACCCATGTAGCTTTCAGCAATGCTACTTTAGCATTAAAGGGCTGATGTTTTTAAAGGGAAGCCAGCGCTTTTTAAAAACAAAACAAAAAGAACCCTAGCAGCACACTCAAACAGCTCCCGGCAGTTTTCTGTAAACAGAAAGGCGAATGACTCTGACCAGATAAACATTAGTCAGTCTCAGATGCAGAGCTTGCCAGTCTTGAGCAAGTAACCTAAAAAGGCAGTCAGTTTTGTGAATGCTTGATGTGTGTAGCCTTTAAACCAAAAGAGGTAAGGAACACTGGATGAAAAGGCAGCTGAATAAGCTGCTGTGTCTGGCCTACCAAGTGGGTAGGTGGCAACTCTATATACGGACCCGTGTTCCCAAAAAGAAGGCAAGCAGCCCTCTTCTGTTAGCTTCTGCCAACAAGCAGCCCAAATTGTTGCTAGATAAATGAGAGTTTGCCTGCCACACAGCTTTCTTTTTTTCATAATCCAAACTGAAGTGTGCCTGTTCATTTTTTTCTTATTTTTTTGCTATTTTACAACCGCCGGGGGCGCATCACATTTGTCGGGGATAAAAGTAATAAAGTTACCAACTTAACATTAAAATTCACCAAATTCCTTCATAAGCTCCCCTCCTTATACACAATTAAGATAGCTTCTTTCCTAATATACCTGAAAGCGAAGTCTTCTCTTCCCTGCTGCATATTTGAAGGTTTGACCAAGCTGTACTTGTAGGCTAAATTCTGCTGCTAGGTTTTTGAATCCTGTGTTAGTGTTCTAGCTGGGGTTTTTAAAAAAAATATATATGCATAATTTCAACATATAAATGCCTCCAAGATGAATTATATTTGCCCCCCGCCTTTGTCCGGATGACGAAGGGTACACTTTGTATGGTTCAGCTACCCTTTCAATACTTGCAAATACCTGGTTGTACTTGGCCTACATGTTTGGTGCTGGCATATTGAAGTTACGGTGACTTACTCTGGAAGATCCACTAACAGACTGGGGGTGTGGTTTATTTCCCCTTTGGTATATTTCAGGCACGTCCAACAGGTAGATTGTGATCTACCGGTAGATCACTGGATGTCTGCCCTGCACCCCAAAAATATGGGGCTTTCCTCCTCCCTAAGAAAAGCTCAACAACTTTGACCTGAATCCCCCAAAACAGGGCTTTCCCTTTGACCCCTGGTATATTTTAACCTACATTGATTCTCACTTAGCTTCACCCTTGCAGCTGCCCCTTGGATTGGCTTCATGTTGGCAAGTTAAATCTCTAAAATGGGAGTGGAGAACCTTTGGCTCTCCAGATGTTGCTGAACTACAGCTCCCATCATCCCTGACCACTCTTGCTGGCGCTGATAGGAGTTGTAGTTCAGCAGCCTCTGGAGAGGCCAAAGGTGCTCAAAAATTACACAGCCTGGAAACCCAAGACTCTGGTTAGGTTCATATGGCGGTTCTTTTGCTATAGAGCCCTGGTAAGAGCAGCTCCAGAAATGAACAAAAGCACCACCAATATTTTTAGGCACCTTGTGCCAGTTAGACGTGTTTGGTGCTGTAGACTCCTCCCTTGGCTCTTAATCTTGCCATTTTGCACGCCAGATGAAAGTTCTAGGATACTCTTGGCTTAAGAATAAAGGCTGTAGGAGGAGGCATGGTTTCCTGCATTGAACTTGTCCAGGCAGCTGCTGCTTTAGGGTGGGGATCAGCAACAGATCTCCAGCTCCCAACATGGAATGCCTGAACAGCAGTGCTCATGTAAGCCCATTTGTGCTCCAAAGCCTATTTGAGGTCAAGCGAGATGCGATGTCAGCAGATAGGTGATCTTCCAGCTTTTTTGTTTTTTTGTTCAGTGGAATAGTCGCTTGGGTAGGTGTAAACCCTTCCCATGTCACTCCCTAGTTTGAAATTGCTCTGCCAAAGCAACTCGCCCCTGGAAACATACAGGTACCCATGGCCTGGGTTCCCCTCTGAGTCACAGAGCAGCTTTGTGGAGGTGCTGGCACATTGGAAAAGGCTGAATGGCTAGTAGAAGCAGCATGGTTACCATCACACCTGTGGCCCCTGCTGCTGCTGAACTACTTTTAAAACCAAAAGATAAGATCGCTGATCTCCTGATCTAGTTGCATCCATGGAAACTAAAGGTTGTATCCTAAGAAGCATTGAGCAACTCATTTAATCAGTACATGGATTTCTCCTTGCACGATGCCTCCCGCCCCCAAGCGCCCCTTGAATGTGTTCTAAAACACCCTTTGGAGCAGATTTGGGGAGTGTGTTGGGCCATGTGCAGAGGGCTGAGAGGAGGGAAGTTGCATTGCATGAGCGGAAATTTTTGTATTGATGGGGTGTGTTGGATATTCCCCAAGTCTTGCATTTAGCCCTTATGAGTGTGTTAACATACACAGGTCACCGATTTAAACACACCAGCTGATGTTTGCTTAGGCCATTTAAAGTTTCCTCCCGTACTTACAGCAATGTGCTTTTCCCCGTGTTGTAGGTGGTCCGTAGCCGTCTGGAGAAGCAGGGAATTGCAGTCCACAACGTGAGGTTGAATGGCTCAGCCGCAAGCCACGTGCTCCATCAGGACAGCGGTCTGGGGTATAAAGATCTGGACCTCATTTTTGGTGTAGACTTGAAGAGTGAGGACGTCTTCCAGCTAGTGAAAGATGTAGTGATGGACTGTCTGTTGGACTTCCTCCCGGAAGGGGTAAACAAGGATAAGATCACTCCCATGACGCTAAAGGAGGCCTATGTGCAGAAGCTAGTGAAAGTGTGCAATGAAACAGACCGCTGGAGCCTTATTTCACTTTCAAACAACAGCGGGAAGAACGTGGAGCTCAAATTTGTAGACACTCTCCGGCGGCAGTTTGAGTTCAGCGTAGATTCCTTCCAGATAATATTGGACTCACTGTTGCTTTTTGGAGAGTGCTCAGAGAACCCGATGTCTGCAAACTTCCACCCAACAGTCACCGGGGAGAGCATGTACGGGGACTTTGAGGAGGCAATGGACCACCTGAGGAACCGGATCATTGCCACCAGGAATCCGGAGGAGATCAGAGGTGGTGGGCTTCTGAAGTACTGCAACCTCCTGGTGAGGGGATTTAAGCCCAAATCGGAAGTAGACATGAAGGCGCTACAGCGATACATGTGCTCCAGGTTTTTTATAGACTTTCCTGACATTGGGGAGCAGCAGCGGAAGCTGGAGTCTTACCTTCAGAGCCACTTTGTGGGGATGGAGAGCAAGCGGTACGATTGCCTGATGACCCTTCACAGGGTGGTGAATGAGAGTACGGTGTGCCTGATGGGACACGAGAGGAGGCAGACGCTGAACCTCATTGCCATGTTGGCTGTGAGGGTCCTGGCTGAGCAGAACATAATCCCGACTGTCACGAATGTGACCTGCTATTATCAGCCAGCCCCTTACGCCAGCGAAGTAAACGTAAACTACTATGTAACCCACATGCAGCCTCTGCTGCCTTGCAGTCACTCCTATCCAACTTGGCTTCCCTGCAACTAACCACTGACATTGCTCCAGTCCTTGTTCTCTGGGAAGCAGAGGCTGTACAATTCAGAAGAAAAATGGGTCTCTTGCTCAAAGTGTCTTCCTCCTACATAGGAACAAAGTCTATTGTGGGCAATTGTGCAGTGTTATGAGTAGTTACCAGAGATGTTTACAGTAAGAAAATGATTGAGTTTATGTATGAGGTGGATGGATAGGATTAGGTTAAGAAAGCAGAGCTGCACTACCTGAGATGCAAGCTGATTTTCTTTCTTTCTTTAGTACACGAAGCATTAAGGGCTGTGCAGACTCTGTTTCTGAAGATATGCCAGAGTGGCCGATTCCTTTTAGGGACCAAAGAAATCCTATTCAAGTGCCTGCAACCAAAAAAAAAAGAAAAGAAAAGAAAAAAAGAAAAAAAAGCACTGTACCTTAATTTTTTTTGTAGGGGGTAGAACTCCCTGTTGGTAGTTCAGTTTGGGATGTCTGCGATGAATATTGGAGGAGTTTGGAGGTCGCTTGATCATTTCTGTTGAGGGAACCGAAGTGGTCTGGGGGCTTGTAAAAGGAGCTTGCTGCCCTGATGGACCAGCTGTATTTATTATCAGTCAGAGGAGAGCTGTGGGGTGGGGGTGGGGGGGCAAGAGAATGGGGTTGGATTCACAGCAGCAGATGTTTTGACAGATGATCATGAACACTAAAAGAATGGGAACCTGCCCCCAAAGTATTACTCTTACTCAATGTGCCGTGCCAAAAAACCCCTAAGATGTGACTTTCTGAAGGGAAGGATCTAGATTAGTGTTTGCTGTATCAGTAACATCAGGGAAATGAGCAGGTATGGGAGTTCAGCGTGATATTAAAATGGCTGGTTAACTTTTATTAGGAGTTTAAATGAGCTGCACACAGTGCACCAACATGGGCAGAGAAGTCTGTTCATTTTAGTAGTTGCAGAGCTGAGGTTCAGTCTTGATCCAGATGCCCTGGTCCTCTTAAGGGCAGCAGCTGCCAACATCATCCATAGGCTCTGAAAGCTGCTCTTCTTTCTGGAGGCCTGTGTGCAGCTGCTTGGCTCCATGTGGAAAAGATTCCCAAGTTTTGGTACTTTGGTGTTAACAGTGGAAAGGCAGTGGGAGAGAGCTGTTGGTAGCCAAATTTCTGAACCCAAGAGGCTCTTGGTGTCTTGTTCAAATGCAGTAGGAAGAGTCAATACAGAGGCTGCCAGCTGTTGGACCACAACTCCCATTAGCTCCAGCTAGCATGGCTTATCGACTGAGTAGTGATGGGAGTTGGTCCAGAAACATCTAGAAAGCACCGTGTTGCCTACACCTGAAATACACAAGCTTTTGAAGTAGTTACTTGCACAGCACAATAGTTCTTTTTACTGACTTTTTGGATTGCCTGCCAGTTCCTTGTGCAATGTGTCAGTTCAGGTTGTTGTTTTTATGCTTTTTTAGGAAGCTGAGGCAAAGATTGCTAGCTTTTTGGGTACACCTGCTTTTTTTGAAAGGGCTACAAGAAGATGCTTCATGGTGTATACTTGAAGGGCGACTGACTTACTAATCTGTTTCTTTGCAGTAAAGCTGTACCACATTTGGGCAGGCTGAAAAAAATTGAAATAAAATATCATACTTGGATTGTGTCTAGGTAAAATTCTGCCTCTTCCTGGGAAACATGAGCTAGTCTGGCAAGACCAAGCTGGGCTGTTTGTTTTAAAAGTCTGCTGCCATGTTGTTTGCTTCTGTCTTGTCACGACTCTGACTGGCTGAGAAGGCACAATTGCTCATCTTTTAAGAGGTCCAATACTATGTAAGTGAAGAGTTCCCCTGAAAAATAAACGGCTCTCAAAGACATTTCCTTTATGCACAGTAAATCCTTCCATGCTCCAAGATGTGTGTGGCTGCAGTGTCTAATTTTAGGGGCTTCACCAGGTTATTCCTCTTTCACTTGAGGAAAGGGCTTCTTCTCGATTATCTCCTTTTTGAGAGCTTTCAGTACTTCACATTTAAAAGGGGAGAAGTGGTTTCGCACTAAAGGAGCACAGCTGATTAGCGGCACTTTTTGGCAGAATTGTGAACGAGAAGCCTAAGTGGTAGACCTGCCTCGTTTAAGCAAACAAACTTTTCCCCTCCAATCCAAGGGCTTGCTGGAGAAATTTAAAGAAAATTGCACTTTTTGTGGTGTGCGAATGCGTGGTGAAATTCTCACAAATGGCTGCATCAAACAAATGCTGTGATCCTGCTGTTTCTTTGTATGCATGGGGGTATCTGAAAGATTCGAAGAGTGTAACACTTTGGCACTTCCAGTCTTGCGTTTGAATGTGTTCTGCAGCTATCAAACCTGTCATGCAGTAGGCCTGACGTAACTTGCTAGATTCTTTAGAATCTGTCACCATAAATAAATACAATGTATTGAACTCTTTTGGGTTATTCTTCTTACTTGATTGCACGACGGTGCCATGACCACTTGCCCCCCTTCTGCCCTTTGAGAGGACTCGTCTGAAACAAGGCGGAATTGGGCAAAAAGAGGTCGTGAGCATTCCTGTCCCCTGATTTGGCTTTCAAATTGCTACCCCATCTTCTGCCAAATATCTTCCCAGGCACTTCAAAGACAATGGCTGCACCTCACCAGTTGTATTACACTGGGACTGATGGCAGCCACCTTAACGAAGAAGGCAGAGAGTAATTGCAAGCACTCAGTGCACATATAGGCCCCCCTTTTAACTAAAGTTGGTAGAATGAATGTTTCTACCTGTGCTCCATTAACTGCCAGGCATACTGCTTGTAATGAAGGCTTGTTTAAGTCTGTTCCTGGAGTTGAGTGACTGGTCAGGGGTGGAAGCAGAGTTTAAAGGAGCTTTTCCCCCAGCCTGGGTCCCCATGAAGGCTGTCAGACTCCAACTCCCATCAGCCTCTGCATCATCTGCATCATCCCATCCCATCAGTTCTGCATCATCTGGAGGGCAACAAGCTGGAGAAAGCGGACTTAATTGTGGTGGGAGCAATTCATTGAGAAACCTTGATCCACGAGATGAAGGCCAAATGAGTTTGAGGCTAAGTGTTGCATAAGCAAGCCATTAAACTCAGCTGGATTTGGGAACCTTTGGCCCACCTAGTGGTGTTGAACTACAGCTCCCATCAGCCCCAGCAAGCATGGCTGATTGCCTGGGATTATGAGAGTTGTAGCTGAGCAATATCTGGTTCCCCACACCTGAGCTAGAAAACCCTCAACCTCTGGTGCCTGCTAGGTATTGTTTTATCTCCTGACTTCTATCAGCCCTAGATAGCATGGTCAGGAGTAGATGAGCATTGTCAAATACTGTAAGGAACCAGGTTAGGGAAAGCTGAGCTGGATTACAAGGGAAATAATGTTTCTTTGGCTGGAAATTGCAGTCTAATATCAGAATTAGAGTGGGGTGGATACATGGGCTCAGGCAACGTCAAATTTAGCAACCTTCATGTACTGCCCTAGTTCTGTCAGCAATCGATGTGCAGCTCACTGGGAGAATTCAAGGCAGAACGAAGACTTCCTTGTGTTAGGGCACATTACCCTTATGCATAGTATGCCTTCGGTTTCTCCCTACCAAGTTTTTCTCTTTTGCTATTCCAGTTGCATGATCTTTCCTGTCCATTATTTTCTGCAGTTGGCAGTTGTCTCTTTTAATCTGACTAGAGCAGCACAAAACACCTGACCTGGTTGGCTTTTTCCATTGTTTAGCCTGATCTGTTTGAACAAAAGGATGCTGGTAGAAAACACTAGGTTTGATCAGAAAAGAGGCTTTCAAATTTTTTTTAGTGTCTGATCTTTAAAAAAAAATGAAATAAAAATATATTTTTTCTCAGGTGGTCTGTCATTTCTTGGATAAGCAGAAATACAAAAATGCTAAAAGGCAATGGTTTATCAATGCCTATAAGCTCATTACTGGCCTGTCAGTTTGTCTTAACAATCAAAGCTGAGACACTTCACTAGATCCCCAGAAAATATAATGGCAACTTATTTCAGAGATGCAATGCTGTATTTTTTTTAACACTTGATTGGAAGCCGCCCAGAGTGGCTGGGGAAACTCAGCCAGATGGGCGGGGTATAAATAATAAATTGTTATTGAGTTGAAAGCACTGTTTTTAATACTTACTTACTTGGGGAATGGGGAGTCAGATGAGATTTTTTTTAGACTTTCTGCTTTCAGTAGAGAGCCAGTGTAAGGTAGCACTTAGCTTTGGAGTAAGACCTGGAAGACCAGGGTTCGAATCCCCACTCGGCCATGGAGCTCTCTGGGAGACCTTCGGTCACTGCCTCAGCTTAACCTGCCTCATAGGGTTATTGTGGGGATTAAATGAGGAGGGGGTGAACCATGTGTGCCACCTTAAGCTCCTTTGAGGGAAAAAGGTGGGATATAAATGCAATTTTGGGGTAAAGTGCATCTTAAATAGGACGTTTGGACAAACACAACTTTGGATTTATCCACACTTACCTTTTGTCCTCTTTCCAGACTCAGGTCCACGTTTCAAACTGTCAGAACACCCTTTTTTGCCCTCATGAAAACCTGTTCTTTAGCTCTCAATCAGAGCAAACAGCAATTTGGGTTTTCTGTGGGTTGCCATTTGCTCCATCGCAACATTAAAGAGTGGGGTTTGTGGGGAAAGCTCTGGAGGGGGGAAACGGTGCTCATACGCAGAGCTTTAAAGCATGAACTCTGCATGGAAAGAGCAGAGGAAAAGTATGAATAATGTCCATATTTTGCCCTTTGATATCTAGCAGCTCATTGCCTGCTGCTTTCCACTTGGAATTTCAGGACAGGGTTGGTATCACAATTGGCAATTCAGGGTTTCCCAGTATCTGCTTTCAGAAGTGGTTCATAAACAAATTTCTTGGGCCTGCCTGCTGTGAAGGCAACTGTGAAGGCATCCTGGCTTCATGTGAGCCAGGATGTGGACTTGGAGCAGGAATAGCTGTGTTTGAACTGGTTTACTACATTGAGGCTTACCTTTGGACTTCTCAGCTCAGCCTACCACACAGGGGTCTTGTGGGAGTAAGATGCAAGGGCAAACCTTCCTTGGAGACTGAATGGCCATCTGTCATGGATGCTTTAGCTGGGATTCTTGCGTTGCAGGGGGTTGGACTAGATGACCCTTGGGCCCCTTCCAGCTGTAAGATTCTATGATGTGTGTCATTCTGAGCTCCCTGGAAGAAAGGAGCATTGTCATGCATTAACGTGCAATTGAATAATGTCTCTCTCTCTCTCTCTCTCTCTCTCTCTCTCTCTCTCTCGCTCTCTCTCTCTCTCTCCATTTTGCACAAACATACCTATTTCCCCCCTCTCAAAAGTCTCTGGGCTTGGCTGTTTGTTTTTCTAGGAATGTGGAATCTCTGCATCTTCAGATGTAGTTAGACTACAGCTCCCTTGGCTTGGCCATGCTGCCTGGAGCTACCAGGGGTTGGGAAACCATGAATATCTGGAAGACAAATGGACTGTCAGGAGAGAGATTAAACTACATTTATAATTTGTCTTTCTCATGAGGACTTCTGCTGATCTTACATGCCAAAATATAAAGCCCTGGGGATCTAAAGCTCCCTGGCTCTACCCTTTCTTGATGGGCACAGTAACAGCATAGCAGAAAATCCCTCCAGGGTGATATATTAGGCAGGGACACGGAGGACATGTTCACAGGGAGGTTGGTCTGGAGCACTATGACATAGACAGCGTGACTTGGCCTGTGGCAGCAAAAAAGGCTAGTTCTGCCCATACCTCTTGGCATTTTCGGATCACGAGTTCTGGCCTGGGAATGGCAGGTAGATTCCCAGTCTACCCCCACTACTCTGTAAGAACACTTAGCTCTTAATTGGAGGCTTGCTTTGACTCCGTATAAATCTAGCTCAGTTTTATTTACACTGAGAATGGGGAACCTGTAGCCCATCAAATGCTCCTGGACTACAACTCACGCCATCTTTTACCAGTGGCCATGTTGGCTGAGGCTGATGGGAAATGGAGTCCAGCAACATCTAGAAGACCACAAGCTCCCCATCCCTGGTTTGCATTGTCTGGCTGTGGTCTCTAGCGTTTCAGGCAGGGGTGTCTGTCTTTCTCTGCCCTACCCCAGGCTGAACGCAGAACATTTCACAAGGAAAGCAGGTGTTCAGCCACTGAGCCACAGCCCTTCCTTCTGGGGCCCATGGGGACTGCATTTAGACTGAACAAGCCATCCCGTAGTCACCCGTAGTCACCCCCATCCATCACTTTGTGTGCCAGTAGGGTGAGAGAAGCAGTGTGGACTGGGCTGCAAGGACCAGATATACTCCAAACTCCAAACAAGGGCTCTCGTAACATGCTCTCAAGTGCTAGACTAGGCCGCTGTAATGCACTCCCTTAAAGAGCTGAGGCGCTTCAGCCGGCACAGCATGTAGCTGGCAGGTTGCTCGAGGAGGCCTGGCATTCAGATCATGCTGCACCAGTTCTGTCCAGTGGTGTCGGTTGCCCAATCATTTTCAGGCTCAATGCAAAGTGCAACTTAATAAAGTGAGCAAAGGTTTCGTACTGCGGTAGTTAACAACACAGTTTTGTAGGGACCTAGTGTCCACAGAAGAAAAATAAATCATCATGCTTGGCATAGAATCATAGAATTTTTGAGTTGGAAGGGACCCTGAGGATCATAGTCAAATAATTAGGGTTGCCATATGTCCTCCTTTTCTGGGACACGTTCTCTTTTTCATGCGTCCTAGCAATCCAAAGTTAAAAGTAGAAGTCGGCAAATGCGTCCTCTTTTTTTGCTCTTCCAAATATGTCAACCCACAGGTGACACATTTTCAGTTTTATTTTCCTCATCCATTTAAAAACAGCTATCCGTGTTTAATCAATACATGTCAAGACAGCTTGTGCTATAGCAATTTAAACAACATTGCCAAGGAATCCAACCCACAAAGCTGCAGCAAATATAGCAGGCCATTCTGTGCTCATTGCATTGCCAGCTTTGCACTCTCCGTTCCAATAGGGACCCCACAGTTCTGTGCCAGGGCTGGCCAACCTGTGGCTCTCCTGTTGATGCTGGACTCCCAACTCCCATCCACCCCAGCTAGCACAGCCAATGGACAGGATGATGTGGGGGCTGTAGTTCAATGCTACCTGGAGGGAAACACTGGCCTCTGTTGACACCGCTCCTTCTCACAATGCAATCACGGCTGCTGCTGTCATGACGGGCGGAGAGGGTGGGGCACACGGGTGATCAGACAAGACTCATGTGATGCTCACTCGAAAGCCGTAGCTTGGGCCAGGTTTCCACTATTGATTTCAATGGGCCCCACATGGGCGGAACGGCGAGACAGATTGCAGCACCTCAAGCCGAGACTGGTGCAGTGTAGGTAGAGCTGGTGCTGACGCTGTTCCTTTGAACAATGCAACCCCTGCCACTGTTGCCATCGTGCCAGTCTGTTATGCAGACAGGAGTGGAGAGGGTGGGACGCAACAAATGGCAGTGAGACAAGTCACTGCCTCGTGGACCCACACCCAGTGAGCAACAGCCCCATTGTGCTTGCCTGGTGTGTCATCCAGCTGCAATGCTTTAAAAGGACTTGCTCTTAAAACATTCACAAGGTGATTTTCAAATGTCAGGGCACCAGTGAAACCTGAGAGATGCACTTTCCTTGTTAAATAGATAGGCTTGTCCCAGCCAAATAGCTCCAGTCAGCAGTTAGATAAAATCTCATTATGTGTTTTCCTGCTTTGCTGAAATGTCTTTGTTATCTTATTAACGCTCATCATTTCTCTGCTTCCTTTGCAGAGTCTGGAACTTCTGAGGGCAAAACAATCCCATCTAAAATACCTTTTTGTGGGGGTGGGGGGGGGGGTAGGGTGGATATTGAACCAATATTTTAATACCGCAATGACAAAAGCACGCAAACCCGTGGGGAGGGGAGATCCATTTTTTAATTTAAAAAAAACCCCTTAATTATTTCCCTACAGATGGGAAATTACCTCCATCCACCCACAATTTTTGGAAAATCCAGTGCTTGGCAAGGGACACTAGGGTGGCTGTTTAAACATCACCCCAAAAAGGACAAAGTTACAGATTTGCATTAAGAATGCATGTGCAAATTTATACAGACAGGTACAAATTTGGGAAATAATTTTTATAATTTAAATTGAGATACAGTCCATGTCACAATAGCGAGGAAGACTGTCCCCAGGTGAGCTGCATGTGCCTGCTCTGTCTGCTGCCCAGGTGCTGTTAACTGTTGATTGGCAATTTTAAGATCCCTCCCGCTCTCCTCCTTGTTCATACTCTTTGCCTTCAAATCAGACTTGGACCAGACAGCCTTTCAAATAGTGAACTCTTTCAAACAGAGCATGGGTGGGAAAGCTTTTTGGCCTAGCAGGCCAGATCTTTACCTATCCCTTTGGTTCAACTTAGATGGGTGAGTGGGACAACCCACCTATCAACCATCTGGTATCATAGGGAGTTTAAGTGATTGGCAGGTCGATGGTACTGCCCACTTGTTGCAGTTGGCCAGTGAGGATGAGGATAATGACTCCCCACCCAACAGCTGATGAGTGGGGAGTTCAATTCTGCTTGGGGACTCCCCAGCAGCCAATCCAGCTGCTTCTCTACCTGCCCCATACCTGACATCACATATGATGTAAGGTATGGAGCAGGTGGATGTGGTTTGGAGGAAATGGCATAGTGAGCCAAATGAGGAGGCCTCACAGGCCAAATTTTGCCCGGGGCCCAGAGGTTCCCTACCCTTGAAACAGAGAACTGTCCTTTGGCAACCCTTCAAATGAAGGAC